ATTTGCATGCACATTCACACAAAACCCAAGAACTCTATCAATGGAGCACACATTCAACCAATGTGAACTACCGGACTGATTTTCTTCTATACTTCAAAATCAAAATCAGCAATGATTATTAAAAATATCTGTTCACATTTTTGGAGAAAGTGTTATTATTGTAGTACAACATCTTTCTATAATACAGTAAGGTTGACTCTTTTTAAAACCTTCTTGGAGATCATTTGGATTAAGTTCTTTCAAATCACAAAAATTGAGACTTTTATTAAAAACGGAATTAGATATAGGTGGAGCTGATAACTGACTTTAAATTGGTTTGAATGTGCTAAGCAATACTTTCACAAGTGCTTTCCTTAAATGTAAATGTGGTGGCCCTTGATAGTATTTTCCAGTGATTCTATAATAGGAACTTCATAAAACTGCAGATAAAAGTAATATGGTCAACTTACCCTAACAGAAAAAACGAGGGTCGGTGAAAAGGTGTCTGTAGCTAGTGAAGGAGCCACATCGGTTCTATAAATTACTTTTCCATAGTCGTTGGGAGCGTGCAAGAATGTTGCCGTACAAGCGAGGCAGTTGCATTGTACAGTGGTGCCACCCTGCAAGTTAAAGATGATGAGTAATGTATACTTTTTTATTCTATGTTTCTAATATGCTATCATTCAATGTATAATTAAAATTGTATACTAATTGAAAACCTGTAAATTCTACTTCTTTCCCATTTTTGGATGACTCCATTATGCAGTGCATGCTGTAATGGAGAAATTTAGCGATACCTGAAACAAACCTTTTGCATTGCCAAGATAACATGGTCATCTTTACATTAGACCCATGCTTCATTACAGGGATATGTCCAAATATGCAGGTTTATAGGATTTTGTTTTTAAGGGGACACTTGTTTCAGCAGCATTGCCAAATAATATGCTTTTGATATCAACAAAATGAATAGATACTGATGATTTGACTACAATGTAGATATTCTAGACATAATACAAAACAATATAATATAATACAATACACATCTGATCTGAAAAAGCTGGGCAAACAGAAGAAAGAGCAGTAAGTCTATTTATACACTCTAAAGTACTATCACTTAGAGATACTACTATCCCAAAGGTTTGATATTTTTAGCCACAAATGCAGAGAGCACGATTGTTGTGGTTCAGGTAATTATAGTCCTTAGAAAAGACCAGACGTATACAACAATTGCTCTGACCTGTATGTAGAAATGGAAAATAATTTTTACTTAAACCGCACAATAGCTAACATCAGCAGTCTTACAGACTCATTTTCCAGTGTTGTAATGTTCATATAGTAACTAGTTTGATTAAGAAACAGCAAATACTAAAAGTCAGAATGATGAGGAGAGAGAAATTGTGAAAATCAAGGTTGACAAACAAACTGAGAAATGTGTGGGCCGCTATTGCTGTCCCCTTTCTGAAACTATTTGTTATTTAAGGTGCCCACACACCTTGCGATAATCGTACGATAATCGCGGGAAATCGCACGATCAAACGATTATCGTAAGGTGTGTGGAAGCCATGCGACCTCTAGTACTGTAAGGTCACACGACTTTTATCTTCCGAACATGTTCAAAAACCCGCTGAGAATCGTACGATTTACAGCGGGTGTGTAGCATGTTAGTAAGATAAAAGCCGGATTGGCCGGTGTGCGCAAGCGCACACTGCCCGTTCGGAATTGCGGTCATCGCAAGCCCGCCCCTCAGCGGGGCAGGCTTGCGATAATCACAAGTACGATCTGCCTGTCCAAGATAGGCAGATCGTACATTTTTTTTATCACCTAACAACCATCGCAAGACTAAAGTCTTGCGATGGTTGTAAGGTGTGTGCCCAGCCTTAGCTGTGTCTGCCTTCAAACTTCTGTGTAAAAAAAAAAACAAAAAAACAAGCATGCAGCAAATGTAATAATTTGTTATCTCTAAACTATTTGTGAGTCATTGCTCCAGAAAGATTAAACAAAACTAAAACTGCAGTTCAAACGTTGTATGGATCCTCCTCCTATACACTCCTAAGTGTAGACGCATGTGGCCAAAATTCTGATGTAGTAGAGGATACTACTTCCTTCTACAAATAGACACACTCATGTGCAACTGATTTAGGGATAGTAAAAGTGACCAATCACAAAGTGGCTAACAAATAGAAAATTCAAATCCAGAACCATAGTGGGACCTGAAGGCCAGTCCTGCTGATCTATTCCTCCTATTAATAATCCCAAAGAAGCTGGACCTACAAAGAGGGAGTGTTGTTGCCAAAGCCAGTTTCCCAGTCACTAAACAACAACATTTAATAGATAGTGAGGCAGAGCAGTAGTGGAGAGGATGTAAGGATTCTGTCAGAAAGTACACAGATGGTGGGCTTATTTGGGGTCGTAAGACCAGGATGTCGAATTCCGATGCCCTCCTTACCATCTTGTCTTGAATTGTATTGTGATTGTAATGTCTTCCTTATATTGTAATGCGCTGCACAATCTGTTGGCGCTATATATAATTATTTGATAATCATAATAATAATAATAATCATAATGCATTCACCGATTGGTGATCATTAACTACTTTTGTCAAAACTTCAGTTCTACATCCACACACATAGCTTCATGTGTGTTATAACTGTTTCCTGTTCTGCTTGTTAGCTATGATCACTATGTCTATAAATTCTTTATTGCAACCATTTCCTGTTTGATGAGGAAGCGTCTGCTTCTGCACTTTAATTAAAAGGAGTGTTTTGAAATCTACTTTTGTTCGATGCTACCCCCTGGTAAGACTTGACCATTTATTTTCATAGTATGTCAAAAAGCATCAGCATGACATTCAGAAAACTGGCATTTTCACAAGTATGTCAGCAATGACAGCCTACATATTGCCCTTATAAAAAGTTTCTTTAAACTTTTTATCCAACACTGATAGAAATGAGTGAACTTGTATAAACATTTGCAAGAGAACAATTACAATTATATTTACCCAGCATTGTTTTTAACTGTGTTTATTCATAGGTGTTTTCCTCCTATTGTCTCAACAAGTATATTTCCACTTTTGTAGTCAAATTTAAGAAAACCCCATTATAAAAATATATTTTTAAAATATTTCTTACTTTTTAGATGTGTCTGCGTAGCAGAATGTTGCAAGCTTCTCTTAATTTACAAGTGACAAGAAACCCTGTCTGTCCCCATTGAAAGACAAGGGACAGACTGAGCTCTCCTCATTCACATGCAATGCATCTAGATTTTAACCCTTTGCTACGACAGACAGTTTAAATATATTCTACAACTGATGATAAGATCTGCCAGCATAGTACAGACAGGGTTAATTGTGTTAACATCAACCTGTCCAGCTCCCTCTTGCATTCTGGAGCAAACTGCAGAGAACAACTTTTCTTTCAAATTGAGAGCACTGGATTTATGATTAGGCAAGGAAGGTTAATGTCTATTGGTGACAGAGGTAAAAAAAACAGCTTTTCCCTCTACGTTTATAGTTCATACACGTTTGCTTAGAATAAGTAGAAATGCAGCTATTACATATCAGCTTATTTACACTCTGTCAGAAATTCATAGCCAGGCTAGGAGTAGTAAAATAAAAATTTTCTGTATAAAAGAGAGATTATAACAGAGAGGTGTTGCTTTGGGCACCAAAGGATGTGTGTTTATAGGTAATGGAACACAAGTCCTGCACTTTACGCAGCTCTGAGGATGTTAGAACATTTGGAGTGCTCAAACATTTTAATCATGAAAGCTGTTTTGTATTGCTGTAATTGAT